TGTGAGCATGTGTGAGCATTATTTTTCACCATATAACTTTTGCCGTTCAACTCACCCACAATGCTGAGAGCCGTGGGCTGGAGGGCGTGACCCTCTCTCTTGCGTGTAGAATGTGTGTGGGTTGCGTGCTCTTGCAGGTCCCCCTCCAGGCGAGTGCAGAGGCAGTGTGAAGACGCTCTGTGTGACCAGGTGGGACGTGCGGCCCTCCCAGGGCTGGGGTCGGAGTGCAGGCCCTGCCTTGCCTCCTGAGGCCTGCGCTGTAGTTGAGTGCAGGGCTTTTGAGTTTCTTGAAGCTAAATTGACAGAAAAGTAGACACTTGAGATTTTGTTGACTGAGGTTTTCAGCAAGTGGAGACTGGAGAGTGATAGAGCGTCAGGGAAAAGGAATCTTCAGAGAGGTGGCAAAACCTGCTGCGGTGGGAAGTCTAAGTTTTTCTTTGTCTCTGGCAATCCATGTGGACCATTTCTGGATCGCAGTTGGCTCTGGTGTCCCGGGAAACCAGTGACTTAGTCTCTTCCTGCTCTTCTCAGATCTGGCTCTGGGCCAGAGGTGTGTGCTGGCGACTCAGGGCCCCGCTGGCCACGAGCTTCTTGGAGCAGCCAAGGAAGAGCTGAGTCTCTGTGCTTTTTTTTTTTTTTTTTTTTTTTGAGATAGAGTCTCACTCTTTTTGCCCAGACTGGAGTACAGTGGCGTGATCTCTGCTCATGGCAACCTCCGCCTCCTGGGTTCAAACAATTCTTCTGCCTCAGCCTCCCGAGTAGCTAGAATTACAGGCATGCGCCACCATGTCTGGCTAATTTTTGTATTTTTAGTAGAGACGGGGCTTCACCATGTTGGCCAGGCTCTGTGCTCTTCTTCTTAACACCAGGTTATTTCCCTGAAACCAGGGTCCTGTGGTGGCTCAGCCAGACACTGATTCCCCCTCCCAGTGAGGGAGCCCAGGCCTCTGCCACAGGGGTGTGAACGGAGGGGCTCCGTGTTGGGAGAGGCACCTGATGGTGCTGCTTGCCGTGGAGGTCTCAGCTTTCCATTCTGTGCTGTGTTACTACTTCAGGCTCCGTCAGGGACCTACAGGTGTGTCTTATAATGACTGTTAAACTAAATTTTAATTTACTTTTAAGTTTTACGGGTAATGTACAGGTACGTTTCCTAGCATGTCTAATGGGCGTGGTTACCACAAATTTGCCAGCACACCCACATACACTGTGGGTTTCTTTCATTTTTCTCTCTAATGTTGTCAACCTGAAATGAGCCACGGGCATGGACTCTCCACAGTGAAGTTGCTTTGGGGCTAGCAGGGTGTTGTAGTCTGGGCTGTGTGTGCAGGGTCGGACTGTAGGTGCCTCCGGGGGCTTGGAGCAGAGGAGAGATTTTAAAACCAAAAAGCAGACATTTACGTAAGCTGTCTAGAAACAAAGACCCTTGGGGACAGGGGCTTGTTACGGGGGTTGGGGGAGCACAGCAAGTTGGCTTGTTGTCAGGCAGGTGTCCCTGATCTGGAGTGCTGTGGTTTCGAGAGACTCCTGCCTTGTTACCGTCCTAGGCACTCGTGTGGGAGGGCCCCTCCTTCATGGCTATGCAAATTAACCTGCTCTAGTCACTTTTGTTTGTTTGTTTGTTTTTTAATTTATTGTTTTTGAGGCAGAGTCTGGCTGTCACCTAGGCCGGAGTGCAGTGGCGTGATCTCGGCTCACTGCAAGCTCCGCCTCCCGGGTTCACGCCATTCTCCTGCCTCGGCCTCCCAAGTAGTTGGGACTACAGGCGTCCGCCACCACACCCGGCTAATTTTTTGTATTTTTAGTAGAGACGGGGTTTCACTGTGTTAGCCCGGGTGGTCTTGATCTCCTGATCTCATGATCCGCCTGCCTCGGCCTCTCAAGTGCTGGGATTATAGGCGTGAGCCACCGCGCGCGGCCTCTAGTCACTTTTTAACTTGCCCCGGCTGCCTTCCCAGGTCGGCACACACTGGCTGGCCTCCTCCTATCCCGTTGCTCCCCTGCCCCACGCAGGGTCTGCCGGGTTCTGCTGAGGTAGCTTCCATTTGCAGGAGCACCTGGGTGTGTCTGATGATGTTTTGCTGTTGTCGCAGCGCTGCCCCAGACAGCCTTGTGCGCGTCCGTCTGCTCACCGCAGCTGCTCCTTCCTGTGTCCTGTGCACACGCATGCTGCTCCTGGTTCACTTGCTGACCCAGATGCTTGTCAGCTGAGTCCTGTTATGTGGCGGAAGTCAGGCTTCCCAGACTCCACCGTGTTTTTTGGAGACTCCTGGGGCCTGGAGTACAGCGGGTGCTCCCTGGCGGCCACGCTGTCCTCTGGGCAGGACTGAGAGTATAGTTTGGGAAGCACCTTAACCCATAACCACATCGAACATTAAAACAAAGAGATTCGAAACTGAGTTATTTTGTGGCCTTGGTGTATCTCTTCCTGCTGTGCTTCACTGGATGGATCTGTGTTTTGGGCCGTGGGGCTCTGGGCTTCCCACCAGATGTCTTTTTAAATGGCCACCTTTAATGGCCTTTTTAAATGGCCTTTTAGGTCGGTTTACTCTCTTGGAAGAAAAATTTGCATAAGTCATTATATAAAGAGTTACTTGAAAAAACTTTCCACACTGTGTGCAAATTTGAGACGATGGGGAAATAAAGTACATGCGAGAAGTTCGGATGTGCTTGGAAGGTTTAACTTTTCATCCAGGTTTTCCTCCCCGAGAGGACGCACACAGGCGCAGAGAGTTGGCCCCTGAGTGCCCGCTGTCTCTGCTGAAGATAATGGAGCCATTTCCGGCAGTTTGTCCTCATTATCAAAATCAGCCTGCGGAGTTTTCCGAGTTCGCATTTACGGAGGAGCAGAGTGGAACTGCACTTGCCGCTCTGCTGTCTCATCTTTCAGGCTGTTTCTGGGAGGAGGTGGGCAGGGGGTTGCTGCACGGAGCTCTGAAATGGACTGTAAGAGGCACTCAGAGAATCTGGGGAGAGGCACCGGCTTTGAGGACAGCTGGGTCCCTGCAGAACCCTCATCTGCGTTTTGCTTTTAGTGAGATGATATTTCCTGGGGAAGCAGAGCTTGCTAGATTATTTGCTAACTCCCTCCGAGTGCTTGAGCTCATTGATAGAAGGGCATATTCCTCTGACCAGAGTCTTTGTGCTCCTTGGAGCTACGTTACTGTGGCTGGTTACAGAGGAGCTGGGCGGGCCAAGTGGGCACTGCCCAGGAGGTGGTTGGACTGGGAGCTGTGCCCGCCGGGCTGGGCAGTTGGATCCTCTGAGGGTTGAGGGCTCCCTCTGGCCTTGCCCCCACTGCCTTCCACCCACCCACAGGCCCTTAGCAGAGTCTCCACCAGATCCCGCAGCTGGGGAAGCACCTCCTCGGATGGGTTCTGAGAGCTGCTGGGAGAGGCAGGCGGGGATTGCTCGATGGTCGCGCAGCTCTGGTGTTAGGGCGGTGCTTTCTGGATTCGTTTCTCCTTGGTCAACAGCGTTTTCCTTGTTTTTGTTTTGTTGGGATTCAGAGCGGAACAGGAAGTGACTGGGCAGTCTCTATCCAGAGCGCCCAGCGTTTGACGTCACAGGCCTCTGTGCTGTGTGCTTGGTCCGTAGGTCCCGTGGGTGCCGGCCCGTGCTGTGAGCTGCAGGAATTCAGGAATCCAGGACATACAGGAGATTCGTTTGCCCAACCTTCATGGCAGCAGAGGCCACAGGAGAGGGAGGGAAGGCGAGCTGCTGGGTCCAAGATGTGGGCCACATGGGGGTGACGGGAGGTGGGACAGGGCCATGGGGGAGCCTGATTTCTCCGGAGGTCTGGGTTATCCTGGAAGTCCAATGGGGAGTGGTGGTGTCTGCTGCAGTGGAGAGTCCTGTCACCGTGCAGGAGGCTGTCATGAGCCAGGCGGGGACAGGACATGGGCTGGAGTCTGGGCTGTGGGCCTCAGGGAAGCCAGGCAGATGACTCAGTGCACGGGGCTCCCACCCTGGCCTCTGAGTGGGCAGAGGTGGCCCCGTCAGGATGGGCTTAAGGTCTGGCTTGGTGGTGTCATGGCAGGCAAAGGCAGATGGCGGTGTATGTGAAATACCATAAGAAGCCTGGTGGGTTTCAGAGACTCCAGTGATGCTGGTGCTTCCTCCTGCTGAGGTGCAGGGGCTGAGTGCCCTGGGGCTGCTGGGCCATGAGGTGTCCATGTGGCCTGGGGAGGGGTTGCAGAAGCAGCACAAATGCCAGCTAGGGTGAGGCGGGGCTGGGCAGGTGCAGGTGGCCCTGAGATGAGGCTGCTGGCTCTGTGGGCAGCCCCTGGATGCTTGGGAGGCAGCCATGGCCTCATAAAGGGCAAAGGCTGTTCTCAGTCCCTGGCTCCAGGGGGACCACATGAAGGGCTGGCCTTGCCTCCCCAGGTGGGCCTCCCAGTGTTACCGGGCCCGCATGGAGAATTCTCAGCAGGACCTGGAGGACAGCTTGTGCTTAGTGGGCGTTTGCGAGGCTGCGAGCCAGGTTGGCAGCTCCTGCTCAGGAGCTTCTCAGTTGACAAGACAGCCTGAGTCAGGGAGCTGCAAGACCAGGGCAGCCTCAGACCCCAGCTCTTCCGGGCAGGGAAGATGCAAAGATGACAGGTGAGGAGAAGCGCGTTAGGGAGCGCCAGGCACTCCGTGCTGTGAGACCTCCTGGCCTAGGAAGAACAAGGGATGCATACCGCGAGGATGAGGCCGGCTGCACCCCCTCTCCTGGCTGCCGGTGCATGCCAAAGCTCTAGACAGACAGCGACACTTTTGGGTGGCACCGTCGCTGCTGTTGATCCTGAGCAGTAACCAGCGGCTGCCCTGTTACAGACAAGGTGGTGAGGCCTGTGAAGACCTGACTGCCTGGGGGTCCAGGGGCCCACCGCCCCCAACACAGGCTGACATATTTCCAGGGGCCCACCGCCCCCCACACAGGCTGACATGTTTCCAGGGGCCCACCGCCCCCCACACAGGCTGACACATTCCCTCTCTTACCCCACTGTGCTTCCTCCTAGGCCCGCCAGCGCCAGCACCTCGAGGTCTCGCTGCCCTGCAGGACTCGCCTGTGGGACCAGGGGTAAGTCCAGGCCCCCCACGGCCTCCTTCAGAATTCCAGAGTCAATTACTTGCAAGAAAACCCTCTGTCTCCGCTTAAGCACAGCTGCTCCCTGCGTGCTTCTGTGTGGCTGGGGAGGATTGCTGGCGGCGGTGGGGTGTCCCCTCCTGCCCTGTCTGTGCGGCCTGTCCCTGACGTTCTGACTCCCAGTGTGGGCTTTTAGTGGAGCTGCTGCTCGCAACCCCTATGTTGCTGTATAGGGCATGTCCACATCTCCCTGGCAGTTACATCTCATGGTGGCAGCTCTTTCAGGACTGGATGGCCTTCGCTTTTTCTGAGAGACACCGAGGTGTGGTCCTCACCCTCTTTGCTCTCCCGGACTAACTCCACCAGGAGCAGTGCCTGGCAGCTATTGGTGTCCAGGGCACCCGCCAGGCACAAATGCTGGTGGAGACTGGCACTGCTCTGAGAACCACGAGCTGCTGGCAGCTGCATGTCCGACGGCGCAGATCCCTGTGGCACTGGAACTTCCTGGGTGGGAGGAGAGGCTCCTTCCTGCTGGGCCGTTGCCCGCCGGCGGTCTGAGCTGAGCTCCTGCTTGGCTGCCATTCTGGAGTCCTGAGACACCCGTGGCGCTCACCTGTGGCTCCAGGCTGGCCTTGGCTGTGTGAGTTCGAGTGAGGTCAGATGTGGCTTGTTTCTGCTGATGACTTTGTCTGCCAGCATCACCCTCAAAATTGACTTTCCAGAAAAGTTGACTAATTCAGTATCCAAGGCTGTCTCCAGGAAGCAGCTTTAGTGTGTCATCTGCAGTGGGAAACCGGATCACGAATGAAAAATACTGGATTCACCTAAAGGCACGAGTCTGTGGATGGCCTCCCGGGCTTCCCTGCTGGCCCAACCTGGCATTTTCCCTGGAGCAGTTTCTGTGTGACCCTGAGTGGTCACAATACCTTGTGGGGTCTGAGGGAAGCTGAGCAGGCCCCAAAGATCTCCTCTGCTCCCTGAAGATGCTGCTAGGGTCCCCTGGGGATGCTTCATGCACCCCGCCCCCCATTCGTTCCTCAGTGCCTCTTCATACATTGGGGCCTCTCTGCCAGCACCTGGTGTGGGCCAGCCATCATTGCTGACAGTGAATGTCTCGGATGCTGGCTGTGTGTACTGGAGTTAGAGTCCAGGTTTGAGATCCGTGTCTTTAGTAGTGCCTGGGCCCCCAGCCCTTGGCATCAAGGTGGTCATTGCCTTAACAGGGAGGTTTGTTCGATAGGAGTGCAGGCGGCTAGAATTGGCAGGGCCTTGGAGGTGCTCAGTCCAGTGCTGGCAAGGGACAGAGAGGCACAGGCCAGGCTGCCCCTGTAGCTGGAGATGCTTTCTCCTTTCTTGCTTGTTTTCCTTGTTAATAATATTCTTATTCAAATATTATGATCTGGGGTAGATCATGGAATCACCTCTCTGTCGTTAAATAAAGGAACTTGAGAAGCGGTGCCAGGTTCCAGGGCTGCCCTGGCCGGGAGGCTGCAGCCATCACTCCCTTCCGTGGCTGGATCCAGGGCTGCCCCGTTCCCCCGTGTGGCTAGTGCATGCTGGGAGCTTTGTGGATGGACTGGCAAGTTTCTGAGCCCCTCACCTGTGCTTTCTTTCCTTCCAGTTGTCGATTTCCCAGCTGGCGGCCCCCCCGCGGTCCCCGACTCAGCACTGCGTGGCCAGGCCTACTTCACAGCTACCCCATGGCTCTCGGGCCTCCCCGACTCAGGCAGTAAGTGCTGCCCACCTCCCGCCTCGCCTTCCACCAAGGAGTGGCTCCACAGCTCCTCACTTCGGGTTTGTGCTGTGCTGGTCCTCAGTTAGGTGGCAGAGACCTTGCGGGTTCCCTGGGATGTGGGTTGGGCGGGGGTTATTGCTTACTCTGAGGCCTCAGACAGTTGCCACCATTCTGTCTTGGAGACCAAAGAAGAATGTGGCCCGTGAGTTCTTCATGCCACGGCACTTGATTCAGATTGTGATCTATCCACGAAAACAAAGCTGAGCTGCCCCTAGGTCTGTACATGAAAGTAAAAGGAAGGTGTGGCTGGATCTGTAGACAGAGGCTGAGACAGGCACCCAGCACCCCGGGACCCTCCTTGCTGTCAGCAGCTAAAGGAGGTGAGTGGAGCCCCCCATCCTGTTTTCAGGGTGTGCTCCTGGCTAAGATTGGCCTGCGTTGCCACCAGCCCTGGGGAATTCGTGTGGAGTTTGGTTTCCAAAGTCAGCTGGTTCACCCGCAAACCGCATCTCTGGTCTTAACTGGAGTTATGTTGAGGAAAAATAGTTTCTTTTAATTCCTTGTTTGAAAACACTCTTAGCACCATGAGTCTCTGCTGCCTTATCTACAGCATCTCTGGGGCTCGTGTGTTTGTGAAGAGCTTGCCTAGCTTTTTATTACTGGTGCCTGAGACATGGTGTGAGGGTGATCTGGTTTCCTCTGGACTGGAACAGAAAGCCTGGGAATGAAGCTTGAGAGAGCACATTCCCAACTCCCAAGCCAGCTCCTCGCTGAGAGGCCTTCCTCGGCCTTGGAGGGGAGTAGAGGTGGGATACGAGTGAATGACAGGAAGGTTCAGGGGCTGTGAGGACAAAAGACTGTCCAAACACACCAGCCAGGGGCTCGGTGCCACGATTTATCTTGCAGTGTTGAGGAAGCTTCATCTTTCCATTCTATAAACATATTTTGATGTGAATTTCCCATCTCAGGTGTCAGATGTCTCCCACGGTCCTGACCTGCTCATAAAATTAGGATTCCTTCCTCACTGCTTCTCAACTCACAAATTGGGTTGCCACATGAAATATAGGATGCCCAGTTAAATTTGGACTTCAGGTAAACAGCAAATAATTTTTTGGTATAAGTATATCCGAAATATTGCAGGGAACATACTTATACTAAAATTATTTGTTGTTTACCTGAAATTCAAGTGTAATTGAACCTTCTGTATTTTTATTTGCTAGAGCTGGCAACCCTCCAGAGGCAATTCATCGATGAATCCCCTTAGATCTGGGCACCGTTGGTTGTTAGGAGTTGGGGTCCTTGGTGGCCTCACTCGAAAGCCCTCGTTTTGTTCAGCAGGAGTTCCCGTTGGAGGGCGGTATCTCCCACCTGGAAGCTGACCTGAGCCAGACCTGCCTGGTCCCGGAAACCTCCATCGCCGAACAGTTACAGGAGCTGCCGTTCACGCCTTTGCATGCACCTATTGTTGCGGGAACACAGACCAGGAGGTGAGGTGGTGGTGTTGCAGGAACACAGACCGGGAGGTGAGGTGGTGTTGTTGCGGGAACACAGACCAGGAGGTGAGGTGGTGTTGTTGCGGGAACACAGACCAGGAGGTGAGGTGGTGTTGTTGCGGGAACACAGACCAGGAGGTGAGGTGGTGTTGTTGCGGGAACACAGACCAGGAGGTGAGGTGGTGTTGTTGCGGGAACACAGACCAGGAGGTGAGGTGGTGGTGTTGTGGGAACACAGACCAGGAGGTGAGGTGGTGTTGTTGCGGGAACACAGACCAGGAGGTGAGGTGTTGTTGCGGGAACACAGACCAGGAGGTGAGGTGGTGGTGTTGTGGGAACACAGACCAGGAGGTGAGGTGGTATTGTTGCGGGAACACAGACCAGGAGGTGAGGTGGTGTTGTTGCGGGAACACAGACCAGGAGGTGAGGTGGTGGTGTTGCGGGAACACAGACCAGGAGGTGAGGTGTTGTTGCGGGAACACAGACCAGGAGGTGAGGTGGTGTTGTTGCGGGAATGCAGACCAGGAGGTGAGGTGTGGCTCCGGGTGGGATGGAACCAGGCACGTGCTGTGTCGTCAGAATGTTGGACCTTGTGAACACCAGGCGTTCCACAGGGTGGTGCATCAATGGGTCCCCCTTTCCCGGGAGGCTGCCTGAGGAGTCTCTGTGTCTCAGCTCTGCAGGGCAGCCCTCGAGAGCCTCCATGGTGCTCCTGCAGTCCTCCGGCTTTCCTGAGATTCTGGATGCCAATAAACAGCCAGCTGAGGCCATCAACCCTACAGACCCCGTGACGTTTAACCTTCAGAAGGAGGAATCGGATTGTCTACAAAGCAACGAGATGGTGCTACAGTTTCTTGCCTTTAGCAGGTAAATGCTTGAATATTCTGAGTTACTCATCTGGCTTTCACATTTCCTGTGTTGAAGAGAAACTTTGCTGAGATTCTGACCTGGCAGAACTGTCTGTGCTTGGGTCTTAGTAGATTCGGGAGTGCCATCTGTTTTTATCTTATCTTGGCTAGGACCCACCCGTGGCATGCTAAATGCTGTGAAAGCTGCTTTGCCCCATCTTTTGTGGTCCTTCATTAAAATGTGGATGGTGTGTTGTCCAGGTCTTAGATCTTAGTGTAGCTCCGATGGCAGCTTCTCTAGCCGGGAGTGTCCTTATACTCGAGAGTGCTGTCCTTATACTCTCAGCTGTCTGGCCGACTTGCTGAGAGCACAGCAAAGCGGTTCCGTTGGTGACCGTGGCAGCCTCTTTACTGTTGCCCCAGCAACTAAGGTGCCTGGACCATCCCCTTATGCGAATGCACATCAGACCCCTCAGGTTCTGTGCCATGGATACTCGATTAACCCAGAGCTGTTGTTGGATTCAGAGTGGCCCAGGACTGCCGAGGAACGTCATGGCCAAAGACTGTGTATTTCACCTTCCAGTTCTACCGCTTCCCACCTGCAACAACGCCACGACTGCAGCTGGTCCAGCTGGATGAGGCCGGCCAGCCCGGCTCTGGTGCCCTGACCCACATCCTCGTGCCTGTGAGCAGAGACGGCACCTTTGATGCTGGTGAGTACTCATGTGCGTGGCAAAGGTGAGACATTCTGTACTGAGTTGTGTGTGTAAATTGTCAATGTTATAAAAGTGGTACTATGAAAAGTTTAAAACATATACAACATTAGAATAACACGGTGAACCAGTGCAGCAAACACTCAGCCCCAGCAGCTCCTAGCTACCTCCCAACCCAGCGTCCTCCCCCAAGCCAGGGTTGTTTTGAAGCAAATCCCAGACATTACATAATTTCATGTATGAATATTTCCTTATGTATATCTAAAAAATTAAGAATTCTTATTGAAAAACATAATTGGTATGTCCCACCTAAAATAGTAACTCCTAATATCATCAAGTATCTAGCCAATGTTACAATTTTGCTAGTAACCTCATAACATTTTTTTAAGTTTGTCCAGAAATAAGGTCCATACTGGTCGTGGAGCAGTGTGACTCGTCAGTCTCTGTCTGCAGTTGCTGTCACCGTGCCTGTCTCTGTTGTTTCTTTTTTATGTATTGAAGAAGCCACGTTGTACTGTAGAGCATCCACCTCACAGTCTGGATTTTGGTTTTGCATCCTGGTGGTAACATAAAGGTGTTGTTCTGTCCCCTCTTTACCTGTCAATTGGGAGTTAGATCCAGATGCGTGATTAGACGCTTGGTTTTGTTTTTGGTTTTGGCAAGAATTCTTTGTAGCGGGTGATGTTTGTGCCACCTCCTTCACCTCTGCTGCGCCCTTGGCGTCTGCTTACTTCTTTTTATGTTGCACCAGCAGCCATTATGCCCACTGCTGTGTCATTTGTGCAGTGGTGACGTTCTGTTTCTAGAACACCTCCCTTGTTCGTTAGCTGGGATGCTTCCAAAACCAGAAACTTCCCGACGTCAACTTTTTGCTTACATGGAGATGCGGTTTGTATAGGAAAGGCTGGATAATACTTGATTCTTCCCTTTATTTGCCAATTTCTGAAGTAATTACATGATTCCCTGGCATCCTTCAAGGATGGGGACCAATGACTTTTTTTTTCTTCAGGTATCATTGTAAACTAATACATTGAAGCTACATTGAATAGAAACACGCCTGACATGTTGGTATTTTTATTGATGGTCAGTTTCCCTGTCTTGGTTAGTGACACAGCTCATAAGGGACCCAGCTGGGGTCTCAAACACTGCTGCCTCTCGGGGTAGAAAGTGGCAGGTGGGAAAAGTGATGTTGAAGTACTGACCTCAAATGGAAGTAGCCTAACAATGGCACCTGACAACAGAGACACAAAACAAATGCAGCGCTAGGGATCGAGGAGGCTGTTAAACAATAACCAAGAAAGTAATTCACTAGGAAAAGAAACAGTTCTGAATCTGCGAACTTCTAACATACGTAACCTCAAGATAGAAAGGAGAACTTGATGGACTTATAAGGAGAAATCGGCAAAACCCCACAATCATGGGAGATCTAGACATACTTCTCAGTAGATTGATGATCAAACAGAAATAAATTAATAAGGATATTATAAAATACAGTTTAAAAAGGTGATCTGAGAAAACCTGTATACCCCATTTAGAGAATATGCATTATTTTACAGCATACTTTGAAACTTAGAAAAACGGATCATCATTCATATATTTATTTTTAGCTCACCAAGTAGGCATCCCCTATACTGAGAGAATTGGTATAAAATCTAATTTGATAACTTTCTCTGGTCATAATTCCACAAGATCAGAAGTCAGTCCCTCCCTCCCCTACAACCACTCTGAACTGCTTTTTTTTTTTTTAATTTTAAAACATGCTTCTAATTATTCCGTGGGTCAGTGAAGACCTCAAATAGAAATGCCTAATTATTTAAAACTGAATGACAAAATAATATTGCATATCAAAACTTAGGAGATGCAAGTAAAATTGTAAATACAGGGGAATTTACAGTTTTAAATGCCTGTGTTGGTGAAGAAGAGAAGTACACTTTCAGATATTGTTTTAATTGTTCAACTTAAGAAGTTTGGGGGGAGAAAAGACAGAACAAACCCAATAAAAGTAGAAGGAAAAAAATTTCATGAGTGTAAATGCTCAGAAGACAAAACAATAGAACAGGTCAGCCAAACAGTTGGGCACCAGGGTCACCAGGTACAACAGGGCATGCTTCTTGTTTCTTGTCCATGGGCACAGTCAATCAAGAGAGGCAGATGGCGGAGATGAAAATATCACTATCTTGATCATGCATTTATTCATGATAAAGAGGGTGTAGGACTTGGTTGGTCTGAGAGCCAGCTGTGCCCACCGGTGCCAGCCCCCAGTGTGGATAGCCTTTGATGCAGGTGGAAGTTGGCCAGACAGCAGCGGGCTTTACACCTGGGGTGAGCCCTCGCCTCTCTGCATGCCTGGAAGCACATCTCGGACTGTTGCATTCTCTCCTGTGGGCAGATCTGAAAAGAAGAGAGTGGGGAGGAGGAGTGAGCAGCCTAGTTAGTTAGTTCAGTTAGTCTGTTCCCCATCCCCAGTCAGTTGAGCTGCTCTCGCCCTGAGAGGCATGGGGGCTGGGCAGAGAGAGGCCACAGGAGGCTCCTTTGCATGGAGGTGTGAAGCCAGGGAAGGGCATGCTCCTACAACATTTCCGTGCTCCTACAACATTTCCGGGGTTTGGTTTTCTCAACTCATTGGCCTTCATCATTACTAAACCAGGGGTATGGCCTTTGTCTTTGCGGGGAGGGGGCTGGTCACCACCAGGGCGGTTCCAACCTTCCTGAATCACTTCAACTAAGCCAACCACCTTTCCTTTTTCAATTCTCCTGAGGCCTTCGGTAGGCAGTCCAACTGATGTCCCCAGAAGGCTGTAAAATGGATTGGATTAATGCATTGCTCTCAAGGCTCCTCTGTACCCACTGCTGAAGACTCATTCCCTACTCTGTTTCCCATTCCAAATTCCATCCAGTCATTTCATCCAGCACAGCTCATCAGAGGCTCTGCAGTGAAGTTAAATGATAGCATTGAGATTGTTCAATAAAAAAGGCCAACCACTTAGAGATGCTCCTGACTTGAATATAAACCCCTTTCCATGATGAATTTCCCAGAGAGGAATCAAAGTCCCCAAGTTAAATTTCCTTGCAGGTTGAAGTCCAAAGAAATGAAACTCCAAAATCAAATTTTCTTGTCATTATGAATTAAAATTCAAAGTCCAAAATTCTTAAGTTGAAGTCCAAAAAAACCCCACCAGACTGATTTCCATTTCTTACGTAGCTGAGTCTCTGCCTGGGCAGGTCTGGGCCTCCTTCAGCAGCCGCAGCTTGCGGGAGGGTTCTCCCTGGACGGGCACGGTTCCCTAGGGCCTTGGGAGTTGCATCAGTTCAGGACTGAGCCTCTCATAAGCCTCACTTAAAAGATATTTGTTATTGTTGTTGAACTATATAACATGCATATGGTAAAGAGCACAGATTGCCAGTGCATGGTTCTATTATTTTAAAAAATTAATAATTTTATGTTTTTAGATCGGTTTTAGGTTTACAGAAAAATTGAGTAGCTGGTACAGAGAGTTCCCATAGGACCTCCCCCTCCAAGAGTTTCCCCTATTATTAACATTTTGCGTTGGTGTGACACGTTCTTTTTTCAGGTTTTTTTTTCTTTTTTTTTGAGACGGGATCTTACTCTGTCACCCAGGCCGGAGTCCAGTGGCACAATCATGGCTCACTGCAACCCCTACCTCCTGGGCTCAAACAATCCTCCCACCTCAGCCCCCACGTAGCTGGGACCACAGGCATGCACCACCGTGCCCAACTAATGCTTTTTTGTAGTTTTTATAGAGATGAGGTTTTGCCATGTTGGCCAGGCTGGTGTTGAACTCCTTGGCTCAAGTGATCCTCCTGCCTCAGCCTCCCAAAGTGCTGAGATGTCAGATGTGAGCCACCATACCTGCTGTGTGACACATTTGTTACAATTGATGAACCAGTATTAAAAAGTATTATGAACTAAACTCATAGTTTACGCTAAAGTTCATTCTGCATTATACAGTCTGTGATTTTTGACAAATACATGACATCGTGGATCCACCATGATGGATCATATGGAATAGCTTCATCGCCCTCCACCCCCCTGCGCTCCACCTATTCAGCCCTCCCCTCCTCCCCGGGCACTGCTGTTCTTTTGATTGTTTCCATGTTGCCTCTTCCAGAACGTCATACAACTGGTATCATAGTTCGCAGCTTTTCAAAACTGGTTTCTTCCAGCACTGTGCATTTAAAGTTCCTCCATGGCTTTTTATGTCTCGCTCAGTCATTTCTTGGATTGCTGAATGACACTTCATTGCACGTACGTGCCACAGCCTATTTTTCCATTCACCTCTTGAAGGGCATCTTGGTTGTTTACAGTTTTTGGCAATTTTGAATAAAGCTGTTAGAAACATTTGTGTACAGGGTTTTGTGTGTACATAATGTTTCAACTCACAGGTAAATACCAAGGAGTGTGGTTGCTGGATCATGTGGTAAGAGTATGTTTAGTTTTGTTAGGAATCACCATACTGTCTTCCAAAGTGGCTGGGCCTTTTTGCGTTCCCACCAGCAGTGAATGAGGGTTCTGGTTGCTCCGTATCCTCACCAGCATTTGGTCTTGTCAGTGGTTGGGATTTTAGCCGCTCTAGCAGGCCGTACAGTGGTGTCTTGTTGTTGTAATTTGCAGTTCTCTAGTGACGTATGATGTGGAGCATCTTCTCATGCTTATTTGCCTTCTGTACATCTTCCTTCATGAGATTTCTGCTCAGATACCTGAACGGATGTCTGTATACATTTTGGATGCAAGTCCATTATGAGATACGTATTCTGCAAATGTTTTTTCCCGATCTATGGCTTGTCTTTTTATTCTCTTACCAGTATGTTTGGCAGAGTGAAGTTTTTCATTTTAATGAAGTCCAGCTCATTAGTTATTTCTCTCATGGATTGTATCTGAAAAGCCATCTCTGAGGTCACCTAGATTTTGTTCTGTGTTATCTCCTAGGAGTTGTATAGTTTTGTGGTTCACATTTAGGTCTGTGATCCATTTTGAGCTA